GAGAGATAGAGAAGGAGCGACAGGGGGGGGGGGGGGGGATTGAGAGAGAGATGAAGGGAGATGGACGGAGAGCGATAAGAGAGTGCGCTGGAGAGAGAGGCACAAAGATAGGAGAGAGACAGAAGGGGAGAGGGAGAGAGAGGGGGAGGGAGAGAAAGAGAGAGAGACAGACAGACAGAAGGGGAGAGAGGGAGCGATGTGGAGATATAGAGAGAGCGATAAAGAAACGGAGAGAGACGTAGAGAGAGGAGAGAGACACAGAGAGACACAGATCGAGATAGATGAGAGAGCTAGAGACCATTGAGAGAGAGAGAAAGAGAGAGCAGGAGAGCGCCAAAGAAAGGGTGAAAGAGCGGGAGAGAGTGGGGGAGGGCGAGAGGGTTGGAGAGATATATACATAAAAAATTACGTAGATAGAGAGAAGGGGAGAGATACTTGGACACAGGTAGTTGAGCAAGAGAGAGTAAGCTAGAAAGAGTGCACCCTCAGCGGTGAGCACATTCACTCTATTATAATAACGACAATGTGTTGGGTCGATACAGTAAGCGACAGATAGTACAGCGCATGAATGTTTTGGAAAACATCCGCGCGCCATTGGCGGTTGAGACGCATTTTTGAAGGCTCACAAATGGCACACTGAATCCCATAGCGGCATGCCTTGTTTGACAAGGTATTCCACAAAAGATACGGAATTGGTAAACAACCCTGGCAGGGCGTATAAATGGCTCCTCGGCCGATGACTGATTGCTATGGTAAAGCGTATTTTTCAAGACAATAGGAAATTGATTACTTTCACGGTTATCATTGGTCATCTGGACAAGTAGCCAGTGGTCAGGGAGCAGATGGTGGTGGTGACACACATCATCACAACACTGCTGTGGGCAATGTCGGGGACGGGAACCTACTTCAACTCCATTTGCTCATTCGTCATAGAAGAACGTCCTCCCTGGAGAGATTTCCATGACAGACTGTCCCTGTTGAATGTGAACACGCTGGACGTGTTATTGATACTTCTAGGCGTTGATTGGTATCAGATTGAGTACAAGGCATCGTTAGATACTAGACCAGACATATTTCGTGTTTGGATGCTCTTAGTGGGGGATGAGTTACACAGATTCATTCAAGTACGACGTGGTTATTAGGCAAGAGTTACTTCACAAGGATGACCCATACAACGTAACTGAATAAATCAATAAAAACACTGTATAGGACTTCGCTCAAATTACATCATAGAAGACAAAATTGATAAGCCAGATGCTTATGATGTCGAAGAAAGTGATGATGGTGATGCTGCTGTTGTTAATGATGATGATTATCATTATTCATATTTCTTCATTTGGGTATCGACATTTTCGTATCTTCTTCGTATCAAATTCAGAGTTTCAGCAACTGGGCCATTTTCGCTGCCATAATCACATATAACCTTGCACATGTATACAAATATACGTGTATACGTCACTGGAGCAACGTCTGATGGACGCGGAGTCTGTAATATGTAGAGCATGCATTATCCTGTTTATCTTCCGCTGTTTACTGAGCACACACATCTGCAGTAAAGTAATTGGCGCTGGCTATGTAAAGAGGTAATGGCCCTCTTATCAGCGCATGAATGCTGTGCATGAAATCTCTCTGAACAAATCATATGCGGCCGGTTAACGTTGTGGTTTTAGATCTTCATGTGGATTGTTTGCTGTAAATGCGATGCAGATATAACGGTAAACTGTAAACATTAAACCAATCAAGGCACAGTGCGACAAATAGACGCTGTGTAGCGTTTGGTCAACTGATGGACACTGTGTAACATTCGTTACAGATCATGAAAATAACAGAATAAACATTCACTGTAGTCATTACTCATAACTGCTAAACATATTTTTTTAATTTTAGCATGTTCATATGTAAACGTTTTCAGATTTTGTGAAATAAATATGAATAATCTTTATGAAATTGGAAATGATGCAAATTAAATTTAATTTTTCACGTCTCAAGTGATGTATCGCAAGGAAATATGACACATCTGCTCAAGTATTCTTCTTGACTCGCTATCCTCATAACAATTAAGGGGCGGTGGGGAAGCCAAGTGGTTCGCTTGTCACGCCGAAGAACTGGGTTCGATTCCCCATGCGGGTACAATGTGTGAAGCACATTTCAGGTGTCCCCCGCCGTGATATTGCTGGAATATTGCTAAAAGCGGCATAAAACAATACTCACTCAATCACGCACTCCTGAATGCACATAGTCAAATTAAAACACATAAAATGTCCCCGGTAGACGTCTTCGTCATGTTATGCCTGCGCAAACTGTGCTTTCCCAACTGTATTGACATCCTGGTTACCCCGGTAACCACGTGTTTATGTCCCCATGTTATCTCACCACTGGAGACTGGGTCAGCCTGGTCGTGTTCAGCCTGTGTTAGCCAACTTGGGGGCACTGCATGACGTCATTGAGATGTACTAGGCAGGTGGGGGCATATTACACGTTCTGGAAGGGTAATATACACCTGAGAGCGATTAATAAACATCTTCTCTGTAATTATAGTATCTATTCCATAATGACTGATGACCCTTGAGATAGTAAAGCATGACCGAGTGTAAAAACGGGTATCTATATCTTGAACGTGTGCGTCATGGTTCCACAGCTGACGGAAGTAGAAATGGCGGAATGGTAGAAGTAGAATATTGCTAACAGCGGCGTAAAACAATACTCACTCACTCACTCCACAATTAAGCTACTCATACCGGCATTTAAACATATCTTCTGATACTGAATACTGTATTAAGCATAAGCGTAACCATTTAGCAGTACCTACTGTTAACACTTGTATGTTCCTCTCGACATTCTCTCCTAGCCTCAATCTTACCTACGACCATCGTCAGTCAATGTTCAAGAACGGTGTTTACGACAACTGTTGCGCTAAGTGTTGCTTTGTGGAACAGGGCACCGTCCACAAGCGATCTTAGTGCTACGATTGTCGTATTGCTATGTTCAGTATGGGAGTTACGAACGTCTTAGCGCTAGGATCGCTTTGTGGAACGGGGCCCAGGGTCTTAGCAGTAGTGTATCTATCTATCTATCTAGCTAGCTAGCTAGCTAGCTAGCTATCTATCTATCTATCTAGCTATCTAGCTATCTTTACATATATATTATATATATAAATATATATATATCTCACACTCTTCCCCTTCTCGGTCTCTCCCCCCCTCTCTCTCTAAATATATATATATATATATATATATATATATATATATATATATATATATATATATATATATATATCACACTCTTCCCCTTCTCGCTCTCTCCCTCCCTCTCTCTCTAAATATATTATATATATCTCACACACTCTCCCCCTTCTCGCTCTCTCCCTCCCTCTCTCTCTAAATATATTTTTCTCGCTCTCTCCCTTTTTCTTTGTATCTCTCTCACTCTCTCTCTCGCACTCTCTCACTCACTCTTTGACTCTCTCTTTCTCTTTGACTCTCTCCTCTCTCTCTCTCTCTCGCTCTCTCTCTCTCTCTCTCTCTCTCTCTCTCCATCTACGTCCTTCCCCCTCAATCTCTGTCACACTCTCCTGTGATATTCACGCAGCAGTCCACGCCATGATTTATCCTCGTTAACACATTTCGCCGGGTGTTCAATAAGCCTTGTCTTATCTATTAAACCATAAGGAAAATCCAATGCATTAACGCAAAAAGATAATCAATGTTCTTCCTTCTAACGGCGAGACACAAACTGCCTTGATAAAGTGTTTACGTGTTATCTATTCAAAATCCTCATTAGCAAAACGCAGGGGCGCATCGACAGTAGACAGCCTTGTGTTGATCATTAGTTGTTATTAATGTCGATTAACTCTTGACGATCTTTTCATGATGTCCTCATTCAGTATCTATCTATGGAGTGTGTGGTCACAGCTATTTCTTCAAGCAGGTTGACTGTATTGGTTACGATGACTCAGGTCAGGACTGACTATGTATTCCAGGACTGGTATGTTGTACTCCGTTTGTCTGGCATGCTCCATCTTCTGAAGGTGTATACACACTAATCTAAAGTTATATGCTTGACATACGCCTGCTCGCTGATAATATCTTGATAAAACGAGTTGGCAAACACCGTAAAAGCTCGCGAGGAATAAACACGTTTTATTGATTGCAACTTCTATTTTATTAAATGAAATAATAATAAAAATTATGTATATTGCAATCTATAAAACGTGCATGCCCATTACATAAATTCAATTTCTCAATGCCTGACAAGCAAACTAACACATTAGTCCATGGACGCTCAAATATTTACATGAAGATCACGAAATTATAAAGTCAATAGCATTTCTTTGATATTTGCATTTACAAGATTAATATCAAGTGTATGAACCATTTACTTCACTCATCATCAAAATAAAGTAATAAAAACAGATTAAATTAACCAAATACACACTCAGTCACAACACGGAGTGTCACTGTAAAGAAAAAGTAAATATTAATGTCCCACATAGACACATAGTGCAGTACCACCAAGACCTCTGATTGATTAAAATAATGGTTTCGCAAACCAATTTACTTTATCTCTAAATAATGAACGGTGTATCTCAAGAATTTAAATCCTGCCCAGCCAAAGTTGTTGAATTTGGTTCCCGAGTTGACTCAGTGGAAGAATGCGACTTCGTGAGTAAATATACAGTAGGGTCTCCACCTTCTCCACGATGTGACTGATCAAATGCCACCTTTGGGCGATTCGGAAACGGTCTTGGGGCTTCAAATTGATCCAGGATCCCTAGTGCCACTTGAGTCTTCGAACTGCTCAAGGATTCTTCTCGTGCACAGTCAAGATTGACTGTAAGAATTTCTGCCTTACGAAAAGGGTGTTTGATTGACTGTATGGCGAAAAGGGACAGACTAGTAATTGACGGGTTTCACACTCTGGTCTAATGTACGCACCAATAGGGCTTAGATTGGAACCTTTCAATTTAAGCATCTCTTTATCTGACACTGTCAACGCCACCGTGTTGGTCAACGGCTCCAGTATGGTTCCACTCCCAACATGCTGCGAGAATTGATGAAGAGTCTCCAGTGATTCTCTGACAGAAGCCATTGCCTCAGTCTGACGTTCCCTCTGCCCGTGATAAGCCTCTCGAGCGAGCACTGATAAAACGACCAACCATATCTCGGACTCCCCACAGTACTGCCGGTCATTATGAAGCTGCCTACCGCCGAGCTACCATAACGTGTTCAGGTGACAATGGATTGGCATTGGGAAGCTCTTGGAGTTTAGCCACGGAACCAAGTCTATCCATTGCGACTACAGTCAGCAACAAGCACAGCTTAGGCCAATCGATGGTCTGTGCGACTGGCGCAGGGATGATACATGTAGTCTAGGCATGCAAACGTAAACTGACACGGACCAAGGCGACAAATGAATTTTGTATGCTTCAGGTTTTAAGTGCGATACCGGTTATTAGGCTGGTCAATACCAGGTTTGCTGCAAATGGCCACGTGGTTGATAGATTATTGGATTGTTCTAAGGAGTTATCAACAAGTGGATCTTCCAGACGCAACAGATTAAATCCCGTAGCGGCTCTCGAACCTCCACCTGGGCACGTTTCCGATAACGGAGACAAGTCGGATAACACTTATCGGAGTAATTCCAGTAAAGGCGTGTCCTGGGACCTACTTCTAGTCTTCCAGTGTGGCCTACAATAGTCAGACTAGAGTGAACGTTCAAACAAGTGTGTTCCTCGCTAATAGCTAATCACTGGTTCCGGTGGAAGTAGGTACATTATTCTGGATATAGAATTACTGGGCTTTTTCTGGACTCTGAACATAAGGTTTGTAATATGTAAACTCTTTATCTCGAAATCCCTGTCGCATTAATATTTGTTTGAAAGATGAATAAATTCAGTGTTTCGTAAAGGATAACGCGTCTGCGACCTCGTGGATTCGTGCGACAGTAATTGCATGATTCACGAAACTCCCTATGACAGTGAAAAATACGCCAGAACTAAATGGTAGTTATTATTGATGTTTTTACTCTGGTACTGTGATCGCGTGTGATTATATCTGGCATCTAAGACAGACCTGGTGATTCAGGTGAGACTGGAAGCCTTGTAATGGTCACGTCATAGAAATGGAAGTCCATAGCTGGCTTGGATGTGTGAAGGGTCACTTCATTGAGAGATCGCTGAATACCACGACAAAAGGAAATGAGATGTGAGAGGACAATAGCCATTGCTGGATCCGATACGCCTGTATAGAAGCTAAGCATAATCACTGACAGAGATTGTAGGGATGTTTGGTGAGTTACCATGGAAACCTAAACGCTTCCCATCCGACGTTATTCAACAGGTTGTTCAATTCAAGCATTTCAACGAAGCCCGAAGAACGTTGTGGATTATGTTACAGATCTACAGATAACACGTGAAAATGAAATGCATGTTGGAGTTTTGAAATCTATTCCACTATTGGCACGCATTGTGCGGAGTAACAACGATAGTGAGTGCTGCTATATATTAGTTATCGCCTCCAGTGGTCGAGCAATCAATGCGTTAGCTGTGATTGCATGCGAGGAAGTCTGTATTTGACTCGGAACGTTGGTAACGCTCCCGTTGTGTGGAAATGTATGCGACATCACAAACCTGTCTAACTCACGGTCTTTGTGATGGAAAATGGCAGTAACTGTTTCAACGGCAGTTCAAATCATCCTCATACTGCTTGGCCTTTCATCCATCGCGAGAGGGAAATCGTCCAAAAAGTGTGAGTACACACGCCCATAGAATTTAGACAGAATCCCACTGCTAGGTCTGATACACATGTCATGAGATCAATAATGTCCTTTCAAGCGTTGTAATGTCATCAAAAGCGTTAAAAGTGTTACCGTCGAGTGTAAAGCAATATTTGATACCCAGGAATTATTTGCATATACGAGATATTTACTTGAAAGGTTCTCCAATATCCCAGGTGCTTTTCTAAAGTTTATTACATTCATATGAGAGAGTATGATTGAATCATTTGCTTCGTACCCCCAAGCAAACTTGTATTGGACGATGTTGATATTGGACATGTTATGCTTTTGGATAAAGTGATTACAGCTATAACGTATATCAAACGTAATAGAATGCACTGATGTACCGTTCATTTAACTTAATATTGTGCTTCTTTTGTCTCTTAACGATCACATAAAAGAGGCATAAACACATAACATATTAGTGAGTGAGTATGGTTTTACGCCGCTTTTAGCAATATTCCAGCAATATCATGGCGGGGGACACCAGAAATTGGCTTCACACATTGTACACATGTCGGGAATCGAGCCCGGGTCTTCGGCGTGACGAGCGAACGCTTTAACCACTAGGCTACCCGACCGCCCCACATAACATATCAAGAGTCGACTATCTTGAAGGGCTGTAATTGTTTACGTCGCTGCATCATTGTTTACGTCGTTGCATCAAGGGGGAACTATGCTGTAAGACATCTATTCAGGAAACCCAGTATGTGCGGCGAACAATTATTATTGGGTGATAAAAGCTTACGCAAATGTCAGTGTACCATCACTTGTTCCGCTATGTATGTGCACATGTACTCTATGTCACTCCAAGACTACGCCAGATTTCTTCCATTTTCTTGCTTTTTCCTCAGTGAATTCAAATATACAAAAAAATATAAACCGTCAACGCCTGAGATTGACTTGTCTCGATTATCTGCCGAAACGGGTTCCAACTGGAGTAAAGGCAAACTAGCGGTGACTATTTTATGAATTGATCATAGAAAAGTCTTGACACTAAGTGTTTGTCAAAAGGCAAAGCAGGTCCTGTCCTACCGGTAGCTCACACAATTTGCATAAAAAGTAAGTGTGTTTTCCCTGACACAGCACAGCAGTTAGACTTACACAAGTCTCTAAGGCAATAATTATTTGTTTCAATTTGTTTCAATCATAAGTCCTAGATTATTTGTCCCTACAAGAGACTGGCATCCACATATCTAGACTTGCCTATAGGAAGGATAGAATGACTACACGTACCTGGACTTTTCTTTCAGTACAGCCGTGGAGCAGGTCTACACAGCATCACATGTTTTAACTGTCAGCCTTTCGCCATAGCCTAGTGCCTTCAAATGTATGAATGTCTACGTATGTATGTACTTCATCATTGCAGCTTCCTCCTTCGGTCCATTTCCCGAGGGTCGCCACTGCTTAGTGTGCGCTTATGTGGATATACCTCATGACATCATGTAATGTCCACGTTATGTGGATGTGCCTCATGGCATCATGTACTGTCCACGTTATGTGGATATACCTCATGACATCATGTAATGTTCACGTTATGTGGATATACCTCATGACATCATGTAATGTTCACGTTATGTGGATATACCTTATGACTTCATGTACTGTCCACGTTATGTGGATATACCTCATGACATTATGTACTGTCCACATTATGTGGATATACCTCATGACATCATGTAATGTCCACGTTATGTGGATATACCTCATGACATCATGTAATGTCCACGTTATGTGGATATACCTCATGACTTCATGTACTGTCTACGTTATGTGGATATACCTCATGACATCATGTACTGTCCACGTTATGTGGATATACCTCATGACATCATGTAATGTCCACGTTATGTGGATATACCTCATGACATCATGTACTGTCCACGTTATGTTGATATGCTAATGACATCATGTAATGTCTACGTTATGTGGATATACCTCATGACTTCATGTACTGTCTACGTTATGTGGATATACATCATGACATCATGTAATGTCCACGTTATGTGGATATACCTCATGACATCATGTAATGTCCATGTTATGTGGATATACCTCATGACATCATGTAATGTCCACGTTATGTGGATATACCTCATGACATCATGTAATGTCCACGTTATGTGGATATACCTCATGACATCATGTTATGTCCACGTTATGTGGATATACCTCATGACATCATGTACTGTCAACGTTATGTTGATATGCTAATGACATCATGTAATGTCCACGTTATGTGGATATACCTCATGACATCATGTACTGTCCACGTTATGTGAATATACCTCATGACATCATGTAATGTCCACGTTATGTGAATATACCTCATGACATCATGTTATATCCACGTAATGTGGATATACCTCATGACATCATGTAATGTCCATGTTATGTGGATGTACGTCATGACATCATGTAATGTCCACGTTATGTGGATATACCTCATGACATCATGTAATGTCCACGTTATGTGGATATCCCTCATGACATCATGTAATGTCCACGTTATGTGAATATACCTCATGACATCATGTAATGTCCACGTTATGTGAATATACCTCATGACATCATGTACTGTCCACGTTATGTGGATATACATCATGACATCATGTAATGTCCACGTTATGTGGATATACCTCATGACATCATGTAATGTCCATGTTATGTGGATATATCTCATGACATCATGTAATGTCCACGCTATGTGGATATACCCCATGTTGGTTCGAATCCCGGTTCGCCCCAATTATGTTTCTAGCTTTGTAAGCAACATACCCGTGCTCGTGGGTTTCACCGAAGTGGTAAACGTCTGAGACCTACATCACTTCGGACTTCCTTCCCACATTAAGCTGACACGCCGCGATATAACTTGAATACTGCTGAAAGCGGCGTTAAACCCAACTCACTCACTCACTCACTCTACACAGATGAAACAAGTCAGCAAACAATATTGCAATGTATGTGAATAAGTGTATGACATAGATTGTACCGGGATCGGTCGAGTAGCCCTGTGTTTTAAATTTTCTCGTCTCATGCCTTAGATCCAGGCTCAATTCCCAATATGAGCCAATTCTTATTGTACCCACTCGTGCTGGGGTATTGCTTACAACGTCGATGGTTTAACGTCAAGCACTCATGCAAACACTCCTTGATAAATATGAAAGTGACTATGAGTAATTGTTGTATGTGTAGTGTTAATCAACCTGTCTGTTGTTTATTCAATGGTTCTATTTTGATATGAATCATAACATTCCATGGGGACTATAAAAATGGATTATTCAAAGCCCATCCGGTGGAAAGACATCGATATCGTCAACCTTATCCCCATGACCTTCAACAGGCCTGCCTATACCATACCAGCATATTGAAGAGCTGATGTTTTCAGTAGAGTTCTAGATATTAATCACGTTAGGCATTTCTTACATATTTATTTAAAATGCTGGTATAGGACGGAGATCTACTCAAAGACATCTTTATGTACTAAGGCCATATTGGATTCTTCTTGTCATTACCTGTACATGTATACCTAAATGCAATTATCACATCATACATGTCACTAAGCATATAGTTGACACTTTAAGGCGCAGAAATGTCTTGGGCAAAGTTGCGTCCCTTGGTTTGTTCCAGGATCCTATTCGCCCTGCAGAGTAACGTCCATTACGCGTGCAAGAAATCTGTAGGTTAACCCTAACCCTAACCCAAATATCACATTGACCCTGATAACTAGTCCATGTCTATCAGCACCAGTCGGTGCTTTCGAATTTCACTATTAAGGATGAACTGCCTACTTCACATTCCCTCCTTACACAGTCGACTGCCTCCGTGGTCTAGTGGTAGAGCGTCTTCTCGGAGAGCGGAAGGTTCGGGGTTCGATCCCCGGCCGCGTCATACCAAAACAGTAAAAGATGGTACTTGGTGTTATCCTGTCTGGCGCCCCACATTAAGGGGCTGAAACAAGGACTGGTTGGCTCGGAGTCAGTGTACTGTGTCTGAGTGGGGCATTCATGTTCAAGTGCGGCCTGGTATCTTAGTGGGCTAGCACTATAAATCAACATCAGTCCTACAACAAGAAGTCACACACACACACACACACACACACACACACACACACACACACACACACACACACACACACACACACACACACACGTCGCTATATAAGTGGAATAATCTTGGACGCGACGTCATACCCCAACACCCTACTTCTTTACACAGTAAGATGAGACGACGTGATTTAGCATCTCTAAACTCGCTCACCGGAGCAGATCAGCTGAAGCCGAAGGAACATGACACAGATTATAAATGCACTTGAAGCATAAGCCTAAAAGACCACTTACATAAAAACGAAAGCGGATTCAGGTTTTTTTTAAAGGGATCAAGGTCGCTTTGCACATGGTGTAAACATATTTAAAGATGGCGCCTCATATCGTTGACGTTAATGCAAGAGATAACACAACATCTTATATGTATATATATTTATATATAGGTCATAGATGCAGTAGCGTGATTACAGCAAACCTGCATCGTGAGAGCGGTGAACATGTTAAATATTTACGACGAGGTCTCTTATGTATCAAAACCTATAAACGGGTTCTTGCTTTTCATAGCTAAAGCTTAAGTGGCCTGATGGCCGAGTGGTGCAGATGTTCGTCTTAAAACCCTTCAATTACCACTCTTTTTTATTTCCGTCCCTGCTTATCCGAAGGGGTCCTTGGTGAATTGTAAGATTGGTTAAATGATTCATGGGAATAATCGTGGTAAACAAGGAGGGAAGTCTTCAACTACTGTTATTTCATCGCATAAGTGAGTGAGTGAGTATGGTTTTACGCCGCTTTTAGCAATATTCCAGCAATATCACGGCGGGGGACACCGGAAATGGCCTTAACACATTGTAGCCATGTCGGGAATCGAACCCGGGCCTTCGGCGTGACGAGCAGACTCTTTAACCACTAGGCTACCCGACCGCCCG